ACGATGGTGACGAGAAATAACTATAGTTGTTGGACATGTCTCTTGGACTTTTTTTGTTTTCTTGAGCTTAAGGTTGATATTAATTTATGTATTTATTATTTTTTTTATGACCTTAATATTTTGATAATTTAGCATGGTGGGTTATTTTGTGACTTTACATTATTTAAGTTGTTTTGACTATTTGTTACTACTTTAATGTTGGAGGTATTGGGTAGTTATGAAATTATGATAGATAGTTTGGTTGGCGTTTTATTAGTTTTTTTTTTTTATCACTTGTAATTTTTTTAGCATGGAAATTTACTTAAACCTTATGGAGACAAGACCATTTAGATTTTGTTTCACCCTTAGGATTTGGATGATGGAATATTGATTGGGGTTTAGTCCTAATTTAATATTTAATTGTCCAAATTTTGGGACATGACAGCAGATGTTTTACTCTATCTCACTGCAAATGTGTAGAGAAACTAACCACCCACCATGTTACTCCAAGGGGAGGTTTCCTACTTTCTTTCCCCCAAACAAACTTAACTTTCTCCCAAACATTGCAAAGAAACCCATCCATATAGTGTTGGCCGAGGTAGCTGGCGTCGTCGAGCTAATTGGGTATGAGGATCCCGTCCTCGACATGCAACACTTGACATTCTAGGTCCGAATTATCCAAGGTGTAGACATAGGAAGTGTCGTTATTCCATTCAAGGTCTTAGGCAAGTTTGCATCTTTATTTTGAAATTTAGGCTCAAAATATAAATTTTTTTATCTTTTTCCGTTTCAAATGTGACGGTAAATAAGGCTGGGCATAGGGTTATCCGACCTGCCCAAACCGCCATACTCGATCCGACCCGCACACATATGGATGCTTTCGCAAAAACATTAGGGTCGGGTGCAGTTTGGATTTTGGCTGATTTTTGGGTTGCGGGTGGATTGCGGGTTTGAACCGCACTAGCAAAACCCGTCTGCATGAACCTTTCTTTTTCTTTTCTTTTTTTTCAAATCTAGACCGTTCATCTTCACTTTATCTCTAACAAACAAACCTAAAAAAATCCTTATCTAATCTCTCAAACTCAACGCAGCTCTTTATTTCCTATCATCTCATCTCATCACATCACATCAGTCACTCACTTTCTCGTTTTTCATCTGCACCAATCGACCTCATTGACCGATCGACTTCGCAAGATCGACTCTTTCTCATCACAAGATCGACCGATCGACCTCACTCTCTTATTGCACCGATCGACCTCACAGGTAAGCTCTGTCTCTGTCTTTTTTTTTTCCTTTTATCTCATCAGTCTCTCACTCTTTCATTTTTCATCTGCACCGATCAACCTCGCAAGATCGATCGATCAACCTCACTCTCTCATCGCACCAATCGACCTCACAGGTAAGCCTCTGCCTCTGTCTCTGTTTCTGTCTTTGTCTCTCTGATCTTTGATTTTTGTTTTAGGTAATCAGATCTGTCTATCTCTCTCTCTCTTTTCCTGGTCTGTGAATTTTTTTTTATGCATTAGATATGTTATTTGTTTATGCAATCAGATCTGTTATTTGTTTATGCAATCATATCTGTTATTTTTATGCAATCATATCTGTTATTTGTTAGGCAATCAAATCTATTTATGCAATTAGATTTGTTTTTTTTTTTTTTTTTTTTGTAGCAACAGATCTCTGAGTTTGTTTGTTCATTTATGTTTGTGTAACTAAGATTCTGTTTCAATGGTGATTGGAATTAAATCTATTCATTTCTGATTGGAGTTTATTTGTTCATTTCTGTTTGGAATTAAATTTGTTATTCAATCTATGATTGAATTTGTGTTATTGGAATTAAATTTGTGATTGAATCTTCGTTAGAAGTGGAAATTAAATCTGTTACTATAATTTTAAATTGAATATGTTATTGAATCTGTGATTAAATCTGTTATTAAATTGAATCTGTTATTGAATCTGCTATTAAATCTATAATTATATTATTGAAATTGAATCTGTAATCTGTTATGTTATTGAAATTAAATTTGTCATTTTTGTAATCCAGTTTAAATGGAGGATAGTGTTCAATCTCCCGTAATCAATCTTTTACATCCAGAATCCTCTAATTCTCAAATGAATCCCCTTTAGCTGAATTTGAACCTAAACCTAAGCCTCCTAGACCCCCAAAGAGAAACAGTGAGGGTGGAGGGAGGAGAGCACCATCCACAGTTTGGGATCATTTTGATAAGGTTATAGGGACCGGTGGGAAGTGTAAATCCATATGAAAATATTGCAAGAAAGAGTATTTGGCTGACTTTAGACTTCATGGGACTAGCAATTTGAGGAGTCATACACCCAATTATAAAGAATATCCAAATAGGGATAAAGATGGTCAACAAACATTAAATCTTAAACCGAAACAAAATGAAGATTGTGTTGAGGTTGTAGCAACAACTTTTAATTTTGATGCTTGTAAAAGGTCTCTTGCAGAAAATGGTTGTCATTGATGAGTTGTCATTTAGATTTGTGGAGGGAGTTGGATTTAGAAGATTTTGTAATGTCGTGCAATCAAAATTCACACCAATCCTCTCTCGTCATACCATATCTAGAGAAGTGCTTAACATATTCAAGAATAAAAGAGATACGTTAAAGAAGGCCATGATGGGTCGTAGAATTTGCTTTACTACGGACACTTGGACATCTATTCAGAATTTGTGTTACATGTGTTTGACTGCTCATTTCATTGATGATAACTGGAAATTTCAAAAAAGAATCATAAATTTTCAACAAGTTGAAGATCACAAAGGAGAAACATTATAGCGATCCCGGGTTTACCCTTGTTGTACAGTGATCCGGACATGTGTCCGTAGATGTTGGTAGTTGTTTATTTTCTAGTTTGCATCCTCTTTACTTTGTATATTGAGTATGAGATGTGTTGGGCAGGTTTGTTACAGGTTGGTTGTGTTTGGGAGCCTAGTGTTGCTGCCCAGATTTTTGGACCTTCGCTCGAGCGAGGAGTTTGTCGCTCGAGCGAGAGTGAGGTTCGTGTCTGGTGGGTCGAGCCAGGGTGGCTTCGCTCGAGCGAGTGTTACGTCTGGTTCTGGACCTGAGAGTTGCCTTTCTTGGCTCGAGCGAGCTTTTCGTGGCTCGAGCGGTCTGGGTTTTTCTTCGCTCGATCGAGAACTTCTTGGCTCGAGCGAGAGTTTCTGTGTCTGGTCGCTCGAGCGACCAAGGCTTCGCTCGAGCGAGCGTGTTTTATATCAGCGGACAGTAGCGTTTTTGAACATCACTTTTTCACTCCCTTTTTCTTTCAAAACCTAAATCCGACACTCTCTCTCTCTAAACTTTCACCCTCTCTAAGAATTGATCTCCCTAGAGTGTGAATCTAGCCTAGGGCTTTTGTTAAAAAGATAGAGGGCGTTGAGAGCTTTGATTTAATCTGAAAAAGTTTGGATTTGGAGCAAGTTGATCTTCGAGTCTTCATCTCCTTTTTGGCTTAAACTTCGAGGTAAGGATACCCTACTCCTCACTATGGATTTTGTCTTTAAATTTTGGTATTTTGAGATGTTGGGCTTGGTTTGGTAATTTGGTAAAAGTTTGGGGCTTTTGTGTAATTTTACAAAAGTTGGGGTTTTATTCATAATAAACCTGGATGCATGTTTGGCATGGAAAAATGGAATAAATGTTGAATCATTGATGAAAATGGGACCTAAGGGTTGAAATGGTAATTATGGATAACAACCTAATTACATTGTTTAATTAATTGGGATAATTAATTGTGAGAAATGAGGAAATGAAATGTTGATTGAATATCCATTGTGCATTTATTTTCTGTTTAGAAATAACTGCTTTGGGCTATCGGTGGAGGATAGTCGTGATTGTTGTAGACAATGCATGATGATTAGGCAAACTGAAACTAATCAATGAAATGTGTCATGGAACTTGACGGTTGATAGAATACATTAACTGTATGTATTGGGTGATTGTATATAGAACCAATGTGTTTATATACGTTATGTGTAGAGGAGGAGATAGGGGATGTACTCCGCGGTTTAGGGGAAGATAGGGGATGTACCTCTAAACCGGATAGTGTTGGGAGAAGATAGGGGATGAACTCCGTAGATACAGCTCATATGCTTGTCTAAAGAAGTGAAGATAGAGCTTATATGCTTATCTTTGTGATGTGTGGATATAGCTTTTATGCTTATCTGTGGATATTGTTGTTATACATGTCTGTTGTAGAATGTGGATATAGCTTATTTGCTTATCTGAGAATGTGGATATTGTTGTTATACATATCTGTTGAGCATGTGGGTAGTGCTTATATGCCTATCTGTTGAAAAAGGGGAAATGAAAAGTAATTGGGACTTGTAAGTCGTTTGACATAAATATATGATTTAATTGATTGTATCAGTGTTAGCCATCTATCAATTGCTAATCTTTTAGTCATTGTTCATGGTTGGTTTAGTATATTTCTACTGGGCTGTGGCTCACCCTATATGGGAATATCATTTTCAGGTACAGGTAGCATGCCACCTCCAAGGGCATAGCTGGGAGGCTAGAGGCGGACATACTTTTGTCGCTTAACTTTTGATGTATTACATGTAACTTCAAGCCAAGGGCTAAATGTGTAAACGAGTTAGTACTCTTTTGTTGTAACCAAGTGTTAACTTGGAAAGCTGTAAGCCCGTAGGGCATTTTGTTTTGATGTTAACATGTAATACTCATGTAATGGAACTCCGTTGAATAAAAGAATGTGGTTAATTTATATGTAAATGCATGTCTTATCTGATGGGTTTAATGTTGTTATTTTGAGGGCGTTACAAACATTAGGTGGGAAAATTGAGTCGTGTTTGATTGAGTGGAACATTGATAGCATATTCACCTTAACAGTTAATAATGCTAGTTCTAATAATCTTACCATTCAATATTTGAAAACAATAACCAAAGATTAGAAGGGGACTATTTTGCAACATGAGTTTATTCACATGCGTTGTTGTGCACATATTTTTAATCTCGTTGTAAGTGATGGGTTGAAAGAAATGGACGATTCTATTGCCAACATTAGACTTGCGGTGAGATATGTGAGGTCTTCTCCTCATAGGCATGATGCTTTTAAGAAGTTTACAGCCACACTCAAACTTGATTCAAAAGCTCTTATATGCCTAGATGTACCAACTAGGTGGAACTCTACCTATTTGATGTTGGAGGCTGCCGAAAAGTATGAGAAGACTTTTAACCGCTTAAAGTTTGTGGATTCCAATTTTGAACCTTATTTCAAGGATGTTGATGGTGGCATTAGGAGAAGTCCTAATGAGTTGGATTGGAAAAAATATAGATTATTTTTGAGGTTTCTAAAATTATTTTATCTTACAACTAAGAAGTTTTTGGGGTCTCTCTTTGTTACTTCCAATGCTTTTTACAAAGAAATATTTGTTATTGAAAGCAAAATTAACCAATTAATTTTGAAGGAGGATGATACTTTGAGCACAATGGCAAAGATTATGAAACAAAAGTTTAGCAAGTATAAGGGGGGATGAAAGTAAGATCAATTTGTTATTGTATGCTGCGGTTGTTCTTGATCTTACCAAAAAAATGGCATACTTGTAGTTTTGCTTTTCAAATTTATTTCTTGGAGATAATAAGAAGGTGGAAGATACGGTAGACAAGGTTAAGGGTTGTTTGAGTCGTTTGTATAGCCATTATGTCACACTTTATCCTTCAAATGAGAAACTTCCAAGTGTGAGTGAAGTTGTGAATATGGCGGAAGATAATGATAATGATCCTTATTCTTTGGTTAACTCCCAATTTAATTCCTATTTGGAGGGGCGATGCACTAGTGGATCTAAGTCGGAATTGGAACAATATTTTTTCGAGGTTGAACATTTTGCAAAGAATCAAACATTTGAGATTTTGGATTATTGGAAGGTGAATGCAACCAGATATAGAGTGCTATCGCAAGTTGCAAGGGATGTGTTGGCCATACCTATTTCTACCGTTGCGTTGGAGTCAGCTTTTAGTATCGGGGGAGCATATTCTTGACCCATTTCGTCGTTCACTCTTGCCTTCTATGGTTGAAGCTCTTGTATGTACTCAAAATTGGCTTCGAAGCAACCTTCTAATTTCTCTTCGAAAGGCGATAGATAATGTAGAGGAATTTGAGAAATATGACTCTGGTAATATGAGAATTTATTTATCTTCATTTTTATTTGTATTGTTCATTTTCTAATGTAAGTTTTATTGATCTTCTCTTGTTGACTCTTAATTAAGTACTTTGGAGTCAAGCTCATCTTCAAGTTTAACCTATAATGTTGATGCTAATATTATAATTGAACTCTAATCCATTTGCTCATTGGTAAATTTACTAGAAGAATTGAATTCTTATATTTCTTATGAGAACAGAGCACACCTTTATATAGAAGGAGGTGTGCTCAATAAGGAAGAGATACAATCAGTCAATAAGGAATGATACATCATATATTCTAAGTACGGTATACATAAAGAAGGTAACAATATTATGCTAGTAGGGACCTTGACTCACGCCAACACTCCCTCTTAAGTTGGTACGTAGATATCTTCTATACCTAACTTGACCAGTGAGTCATGAAAAACTTTTGAGGATACAACATGTGTTAAGATATCAGTGAGTTGGTCTTTTGGTCTTACAAATGGAATCTCAATCAACTTCTCAACAAGCTTCCCCTTTAGAAAATGACGATCCACTTCGACATGTTTCGTTCTGTCATGTTGAACTGGATTGTTTGCAATCTCACGAGCTGCCTGACAGTCACAGTAGAGTGCCACAGTACCTTCAGGTTGAAACCCAAGTTCAGTATGCAGATTTCTCTACTAGAGAAGTTCACAAACTCCTTGAGCCATACCCCTATACTCAGCTTCAGCTGCAGAACGAGCTATCACATTCTGCTTCTTACTACGCCATGTAACCAGATTACCTCCAACAAAAATAAAATAGCTAGATGTCGAGCGTCTGTCAGTGATATTACCAGCCCAATCTGCATTAGTGTAGCCTTCAACATTCAAACACCCTTGTTTCTTGAATATTAGCCCTCTTCCTAGGGATCCTTTTAAATAGCTCAATATACGCACAACTGCTGCCATATGATCTTCACTAGGTGAATGCATAAATCGACTCATAATACTGACAACATAAGCAATATCAGGACGATTATGGGATAAATAAATTAGTCTGCCTATCAACCTCTGATATCTTTCCTTGTTAGTTGGTACTTGATCTGGATAGATTGCTAGGTGATGATTTTGCACCATAGGAGTCTTTACTGGTGCACACCCTAACTTGCCTGTTTCGGTTAACAAATCCAAAACATATTTCCTTTGTGACAAACAGATACTATTAGTAGAGCGTGTAACCTCAATGCCCAAAAAACACTTCAAACTTCCTAGGTCTTTCATTTCAAACTCGGAAGCCAAATATTTCCGAAGATTTCCAATTTTATCTGCATCGTTACTTGTAATAACCATATCATCTACATAAATAATTAACAAGGTAATCTTCTCACCCTTGCGTTGGATGAACAAGGTGTGATCAGAGTTATATTGTCTACACCTATACTTCTTCATTGCTACAGTGAACCTTCCAAACCATGCTCGAGGGGACTACTTCAATCCATACAGAGCCTTTCGTAATCTGCACACGTTTCCAGCACTATGAGTCACTCCATAGCCTAGAGGAAACTCCATATAAACTTCTTCTTCGAGATCTCCATGAAGGAAGGCATTTTTTACATCAAACTGCTTTAAGGGCCAATTTAGATTTACAGCTAAGGACAATAATACTCAAATAGTATTCATTTTTGCGACTAGAGCAAAAGTCTCCTGATAATCAACACCATGTGTTTGTGTAAACCCTTTTGCTACTAGTCATTCTTTATATCTATCAATAGTCACATTTGCCTTGTGTTTAACTATAAAGATCCATTTGCAACCTACTGGTTTCTTCTCTGTGGGCAATGTAACAATATCCCAAGTCCCATTTTCTTTCAATGCTTCCATCTCCATTTTCATAGCATTTACCCACTTCAGATCTTTGAGGGCTTCATTTACTGTGTATGGTATAACAACTGTTGCCATTTGGTTAACAAATGCTTGACATTGTGTTGACAGCCTGTGTGTGGACACATATTTAGCAATTCCATATCTAGTTTTGCCTTCTGGTGAATATCTATCAAGTGGTTTACCCCGATTCTCTCTGTGAGGCAATTGGTAATATTGTTCAATATTATTAATAGGAGCAGAAATAATACTGGGTTCTGGAAGACTTATCTCAAGAACATTCAGAGCAGGCTGGGCGGGTACTGAAGTGATGAGAGATGGGGAAGTAGGCAAAGGCAAAGTTGCTAGCTCGAAAATGTTACTCAGCTCTATAGGTGATTTAGTACTCATGCTAACGTCAAACCAAATATGTTCTTCACCTGGATGACTGTGATGCTCCCCCTAAAGAACATGGTTAGGCAAAGTGGTGGAAAAAAATATCTCACTTTCAAGGAAGGTAACATCCATGGTAATATACCATTGTTGGGAAGATGGGTGGTAGCACTTGTAGCCCTTTTTCTAGGGAGAAAACCCCAAAAAAACACACCGGAGAGCACATGGGTCCAACTTACTGCGGTGATGTTTATGGAGATGGACATAAGCAACACAACCAAAAATCTGAGGAGGGAGATTTAAGAAGGATGTGATAGAAACATGAGTAGCTAAAACTGCCAACGGAATGTGAAAGATGAGGACTCGAGATGGCATACGGTTTAACAAATACACAACATAAGTGATAGCATCAGCCCAATATCGTTGGAGGATGTTGCCAGCCAATAGGAGAGCTCGGGCAATTTCAAGGATGTGGCGATTTTTTCTTTCGGCGAACCCATTTTGTTCAGGAGTCTTGGTCCAAGTGGTTTTAGAAAGTATGCCATGATCCTGAAATTTTTTTGAAAGTGGGTGGTTGATAAATTCGCCGCCACCATTGGAGCGAAACACCTTGATGGGAGAAGAAAATTGTGTTTGAATCATCCGAAAAAAGGCCCGAAATATGGCAGTGACTTCGCTCTTATTTTTTAACAAATATAGTCAGATCATTCAAGTGCAATCATCCACAAAAAGAACAAACCACTGAATGCCAGAAGGTGTAACAATAGGGGATGGGCCCCATACATCGGAATGAATCAATGCAAAAGGAGTGTCTCGTTTATTTAAACTGGAAAAATAAGAAACACGATGACTTTTCGCAAGAATACAACTTACAAGTAAAGTCAGAGAGCTTGACTCCATCAAACAATGAAGAAAGTAAATATTTTAGATAACCAAATGACGCATGCCCGAGTCATTTATGCCATAACCAAATATTTTTTCTTTTTTCACTGTGAGTGCCGCGAACTTGATGAACTTATCCCACAGCCATATCATCAACATAGTATAATCCCTCTCTCTTAGTACCACACCCAATGATCGCCTTCATCTGAATGTCCTGTAGTAAACAAAATGAAGGAAACATTAGTACAACGCAACCGAGTTGTTCCGCAACTTGACTAACAGAGAGCAAATGGTTAGACAAGGTAGAAACAAATAAGGTGTTATGTAAAGACAAGGTAAAAGAGATGGCAACAAAACCAGCTCCAAGTATGGGATTAGAGTCACCATTTGCAGTGACAACATTTGTTTTCTTAAGGGTAGTCATAGAGTGGAATAAGGTTTTATCATATGTCATATGATCTGTTGCACCGGAATTGATAATCCAACATGTATGTGAACTATCAGAGGCAACAAGTGCGTGGCCCGATGGACCTGTGTCCTCGAAGGTCTCAAGTTGGTCCACCTGAGAGAGTAGAGAGAGAACCGGTGCAGCCAAGCCAGCAGCTAAACCAGCACCCGAAGGAGTCGACTCACATGAGGAGGCGATAGCAGCCAAACCAGCACTAGAGCCTGCTAGTTTGGGTAGACCTGGCCTGCGGGTTGCTTTGAGTTGTTTGCGTCGTTCGAGAAACCAGTCGAGGTAGCCATGATTATGGAAGCAGGTATCTTCGGTGTGCTGTTTGCCATTACAATGAGTGTACTGTAGGTCATCTTTGTTTTCATATGCAGACCGAGAAGAAGGAAAACGCCTAGGCATGGGTTTCACAAGTAAGGCAACCGAAGCACTAATGGTATCACTAGTTTTCTTCAACATGGTTTCACGCCTCTGAACCTTATGACGAAGGTAATTAAAAGATTCATTCAAAATAGGTATGGGACGTAATCGTAGCAGGTCGCTTCGAGCTTGATCATAGACATCATCTAAGCCTGCCAAAAAATCGTATAAACGATCCTTTGTAATTTCATCTTAGCGAAGTTTGATGTCGGCGACACACTTCATAGCGATGGGACGGCATCGATCAAGTTCCTGCCAGATTCGTTTCATCTCAGCAAAATACAATGATAACTCACGCCCATCTTGCTTGATGCGTGTGGATTTGCAACGAAGTTCGTACATCTGGGACTCATTTGATTCATCATAGAACATATGAGTGATAGTCTTCCACATGTCTTTGGCAGTAGGCATATCGAGAAAGAGTTCTAGGTACTGAGGATCCATGGTCTTCACCATCCAGCCCCGTATGATAGAGTCCTCCTTGCTTCATTTTGCGTACCCAGGATCACCCTCGGGTACTGCCACTATAGTGCCCGTCAAATAGCCTCATTTGTCTTGGCCGGTAACATGTAGCATCATCATGCGAGACCATGGTCTCAATTAATTTGATGGTGAATGGTGCGGTAGCAGAATCGCTATGGATAGTGACCACTTAAGTGATGGAAGATGACGAATTCATCAAGGCAGATAGAGATCCATCAGTCATGGTTATGGAGAGAAGAGGATTTGTATATTTGTTAGAGGGTTTGGAGGGACTGCCAACGGGAGCAGAAGGTAGCACTGTGTGTTTGTGAGTTGGCCAGCCACAAGAAGGATTACAGAGGCGACAAGGATAGGCTTTGATACCAACTAGAAGAATTGAATTCTTGTATATTTCTTATGAGAACAGAGCACACCTTTATATAGGAGGAGGTGTGCTCAATAAGGAAGAGATACAATCAGTCAATAAGGAATGATACGCCATATATTCTAAGTATGGTATGCATAAAAAAGATAACAATATTATGCTATGTAGGGACCTTGACTCACGTCAACAAATTTTTCATATACTTAACACATTTTTTTACTAAATTGAGATGCAATATATGAAGTTTTGAGATATTGTGTTGCAAATATTTTTATTTTATTTGACAACAAATTTTTTTTTATTTATTTTTATCGTATTTTGGATAAATGTAATAGTTAATGAAGTTTGTTTGACAACAATTTTATTTTATTTTATTCATTTTATTATTGCATTTTGGATGAATGTAAATGAAGAATTACTTTTAGGGAAGCTTAGGATTTGGAATGATTTTACTTTAATTTTGTATTATTGGGCAGTAGTAGTAGATGGAGAATGTTGAGAAAGTAGTTGGAGAATGAGATTCATGATTTACCTTAGGAATTGTATTGTTGGGTAGTAGATTAATTTTGAACGATTTTAGGATTTTGAATGATTTTGAATGATTTTAAGACTCTAAATGATTTGTTTGTGTTAGGAATTGATTTTGTTGTATTTTTAATTTTATAAATTTTAATTCATTAATTATTAAAGTTGAAACATTTTAGAAAATTGGAAGAAAATGACCCAAAATAAATATTTACAAAATTGGGAAAAAAAAACTCAAAAATTAATTTTTAAAGGGAAAAATCCAAACCGCAAACCGCCCGCAACTGTCCTTACATCTGCAAACTCTAACAACACAAACCACAAATCGCGCTGCGAGCGGTTGCGGTTTGACTTTTTCTTAAACCGCATAGGTGCGGGCAGGTCAAAACTGGACCGCAAACCGCACAAAACCGATTCGCAAGCACTCCTAACGGTAAGGGCAAAAGTGATACGATTTTAAAAATTTTGGGAGTAAAATTTAAATTATTCAAAGTCTAGGGATGTACTTGAAAGTTGTATAAAAGTATAGAGGTAAAAATGAAATTTGCTCTAAATTGAATGACCAACTTGAAAAATCCAACCCATTTTTTTAGCTCCATATTAAAAATAAAAAAAATAAAAAAGTATCTTAAAAAAAAAAAATTCACTTACCAAACAGTAATTTTGGCTTTTGCCTTAATTTGAGACCCTTTAAATAATGAAGAGGAGGTTGGGCAATACTTAATTTCCCCTTAAGAGGTCAGGCCGTCATCAGACACGCAAGATTTTCCAAATCATTAAAAACAAAGGAAAAAAAAACCCAGAGGGGTGACGCTCCTGCGACTGTGGTTCTCCGGTCTGGTAATAAGCGAGTGCTGCTACTGGTAATTTTTGTTTTCACCCTCCGTTTGGTTGCCTAGAAAACCAAAAGAAAAGAAGCGAACTTTTCAATAGATGTGTTCCTGAATAATCACCGTCTAGAATCAGGGAAATGTGTTTCTGCATCTTGTTATACTTGTTGTGATTGATGCGTGTATATATATATACACACACATTTATTTTGTGATTGTGCCTTAATTTAAAATACATAACCTCCACAATTAAAACAAATTTATTTATTCTAATTTGTATGTCTTTGCTTGACCCAAATCATCTAATATCCTTAACCTTTGCAATCAAAACAATTTTGATAATCAATAAATCAAATTATATAAGATTTCATACTTTTGTAGAAAACAAAAACACAATATACTAGAAAATGAAATAAATGTACTTGCTAAGAAGCATGGACACGGACACGTGACACGACATGGACACACAGACACGTTAATTTTCAAAAAATGCAGGACACGACACGTGGGGGACACGTAAGAAATATATAATTTTATATATTCATTATATGTTATATATATGAATATGTCATTTAAAGATAATAAAAAATGCAATATGACACTAATTCTTATAAATTTATATAATTTTTGTTTCATTATTGTATTTTAAGTTGTTTTGTTTAAACTTATAATTAGTTTCATATGTGTCTAATCGATAGGCATATGTGTTTAAGCAATTGACATGTGTGTTCTCTAAGTGCCCAAAGAGTGTCTGGGTCTTTAAAATTTTTTTAAAAAATAGAACATGTTTTGAAGAGTATCGGACACGTGTCCAAAGAGTGTCGGTGTCCGATATAGACACGACACGGATACATCACCTTCTTAGAAGTGTTTGTGCTTCTTAGTGTACTTGTTATAATTTGATAACCAAGGACGATTACTTTTTGTAGACAAGATGATATTTTTACTGCAAAGGAAGAAAAGGGAGAGAGATGCAATCAAATGAGTTGTTTTGTTTTGATCTGCTTGATATACTGACAAAGTGAAGTGCACATTGCTTTTGATATATTTTGACGCGAAAAAAGAAAAGAAAAAGAAAAAGAAAAAGAAAAAGAAAAAGACAAAAAAGAAGCAGTTATATAAAGAGAACTTTTTTTTGTTGTTGTTATGACTAAGACGGTTTTGATGAGCTTTTATTTAATGGTAGGGGCACTTTATGAGTATAACATAGAGAGCTAGAAAGAGAGTTTTATATAATGAGAGAGATTTTATTTTTGTTGTAATGTAGAGAGAGAACCTGCCAAGAGAGTGGTATAAAGAGGGCTTGTTTTGTCTTGACGAAGAGACCGAAATAAGTGTTAATATAATGATGAGACCCTTTTTGTATCTGATGATAGGTTGTTTTGCTTTATTTTTTATTTGATGAAGAGACTAGGATACGTGATGAAGTGTGGTATTCTGTTTTGATAATTTAAGATTTGACCATTTTCATTTATTTACGAAAAGTTTTTTCACTACTTTTTTGGTTTTTAATAATTATTTTGATTGATGGTTTTTTTTTTTTGGGAGTTGTTATTTGCACTTCACTTTTTGTTATTTGTACTGCACATTGTGTCATTGAAAAAAATGTGAGTGTATGCAACAAAAAAGTTGAGTGTGAATAATAATTCCATTTCTTTTTGTGTATATACACATTGTAAAGTGAAGATATAAAAAGTAAGGTCTCCTTTACTCAGGGCCTTAGGCGAGCACCAGAGCTGCTTACCCCTTGAGTTGCTACTACTTGCAAGCCAATTTCCAAGGGTGAGTTCTATCCATGGGTTGTATCATTTGGTGTCAAAGCAAACCACTATGGAGGGGGAGACCTATAGGCTAGATTAAAGAACCTTAGTATTATGTATGGACATGGTACTATAATTTAGGAGATTGTAACGGGATAAGGAGTTGGATAAGAATAACATGCTAAATAATTTAAGTTCTTCCTTTTTCTGATTGCATTAGGGGACAATCATAAGACAATGTTTCACCAAATTTGGAGCAACCTAAGCTGTGTATAGGAATTTAGCAAGTGTGGACTGTAGGGTACTTTGTTATTAGAAGTTAACAAAGGATGTGATGCGAATGATATGGTTATATAAATAAAGGGTGTGATCTTAATCTTGTCACTATGCATTTTGGTTTTTTCCTTATCCTTTCAGCGATGAAAAAGAGAACCCTTCATATAGTTCTTTGATCGTGTAGTTTAAAATTGCAGGCATTTATGTTAGTGGTTAAGGTGCTATATCATTCTAAATTTTTATTCTCCCTCATGGTACTTCATTTCTGGATATATGCAATGCATAATTCCTAATATATTACGGTTTATGAGTTGTTAAGATATATAAATTTATTGTTATTCCTAATATATTACGGTTTATGAGTTGTTAAGATATATAAATTTATTGTTTTTCTAATTATATATGTTTCAAATAGGTATGTTATTTTAAGTAGGAGTTTCATGGGAATATTGATGAAAGTTTACTTTTTCCTTTTTCTCAGTGATTAGATCAATTTTCAAGAATGTATAGGATTCTGATACAAAATGTTTCTCCTGGAGCTTTGGGAGTTTCTTCTTTTACGGTATTGCTATGTGGACTTAAACTAGTACATTCTACATAATTGGTGAACATATTTCATTTTATTTGATCTCTCTCAACATTTCAGGATTTAGCCAAGTCACAGAAATGGATTCGAGCTGTGGTACCTAAACCTACGAGTTATACGACTAATGTGACTACAAGAAGAGGGGTATTGAATTAATTTGCTTTTATTATTGTTTTATTTCTCTTTTGTTCTTGAAAGTGTGTGTACATATATTTTGTCATTGTCATAATCATATCTGATTCAATGTGTTCTAGTGTTGAGTTGTTGTCCTATCACCTATGTGGATTTGTTGATTAATTTTGCTTCCATGTTTTTTGACTGCTTGGTCCTTGGACAATGGGTTTACTTATGAGTCGCCATGTCTTTCTATTTTGATGTATAGAAACATCACAATAGGTGAAGCATTTTTTGGACATAACATGATGCGGATATGGTTGCCAAAAAAAAAAAAAAGCGCATGATACGGATGTGGTTTGGTGTGCGACACATCTATTGTAAATTAAGTATTTGCAAGGCTTGTTAGACAAAAGAAGAGAGAATCATATTCGTATATTACAAAGCTTTCTGCATTGCCACATGTACCCCTAATGCATGAATATTTTAATATGAGTGGAGAATTCACATTGGATAAAATCCGTTTCACATTAAGAAATCTTAATAGGGTACCTAATCACGATAACAAGTGAAATTCCATTGTGTTTGGGTGGTTTTGACAAAGGATAGTCAACCCCATGGTTTCTATATGAAGCTCAATGACTAGAAAGTGGATCATTGTGAGATCTTGAGTAAGATCAACTATAACGCCTATCAAGTGCACTTGCCTCATATGAATACTTCCAATACCTTAAACGCTCAACATTGAGTTCCCTATGTAATAGATTAGTTGGTGGTGTTGTTGCTTTTATTGATTGTTTCTATTAGTTGCTTCTTTGTTTCGTCCCTCACTTGAGGACAAGTTCTTTTAAGAGTGGTGTCCTGACGTAAGTAAAATGTGCAAGGCATGTGAGTGGAAGTTAATGTTAGTTGGTAGTAAGAACAGTGAATTTGAATAACAAAAACTACCCTAGATTGTTATACTATTATTACAATATTGATAAAAACTATATAAAATAAAGTAGGATTTTAATTGACTGGAGCTACTTACTAGTTTAATTACATATATATACATAGATGCTTAGAAATTTGAGTACTTTGTCCTTTCTTTTTTTTTTATGACGTATATGTTAGCTTCGTTTATCAGTTTGAGGTGGATTTAGTGTGATTAGCTGTGCGATGCGATTGAGCTTGCTTTTATCAATTGTAAATTGAGAATCAACTTTCTCTTCTCTCTTCTCTCTTCTCTCTCTATTATTATTATTATATATAATATATGTCACCCTAATGTCTTTCTTTTTGAGATAATGGATGAAGAATTGTTGAAAACCAGCTCTCTATTCCCCCCACAAGAGAAGAGAGAGGGAAAGAACCTTGCCCTAACCAGCAAGAGAAGTAGTGTTATGAAGTTCTCTTCCCAAGATCATTTAGAAACATGTGTTTTATATGTTTTTGTTTTTTTGTTTTTCTCTTATATATTTTTTAGAGTCAACAAAGCCTTAGTTACTGAAGGAAATAAATTTAATTTTGATTCCCCAAATACATTCCTTTCTCAATTTCTTAATGCCCCTTGTCTACATGCAATTCCTATGTTTTTTTTTTTTGATAAATACACATGCAATTCCTATGTTCTAAGTAGGTAATTGAATCATGGCTTCATTTTCAGTTATAACAGCCTTTGGACAAGATGTTGTCACTTGTTACCTTTATGGTTCCACACATAATGTTAGACTCAAGCTATATGTTATTCTAATCAGTTGCTTTGTTTCTAAAAAAAAATTGTTGAGAGATCAAGAATAAAAGTTGGTATATGTTTTGGAGGAGGATATTATAAGGGCTATTGCGGGTTTTTATGAGAAGCATTATGTATAGTCTGGTAGTTGGCGACCAACATGTGATCTACAAACAACTAAAATAATGAAAATAATTATTAGGGTTTAGGGTTGTTACAATGAGAGTTGTAATATTAGTTTATATGTAAGTGTAATTTAGCATTTGTTTCGTTATAGTTTCCTAATTAGGATTTAGCTTTTGTTATATATACTAGTGCTTGTAATCTTATTAGATTAATGCAAAATATTGTTTCTCTTCTTTCCGGTGTATCCCCCTAGAAAAATTATACGGTCAGGTTCTTAATTACTTATTGTTATGCATCTTTCTTGGTGACTCCCTCATCTCCTGGTGTAGTAAGAAACAGTTTGTTGTGGCCCAGTCCACTGCCAAGGCCAAGTATCGTGCTGTGGCACATATCATTGTTGAGATAGTCTGGCTTCATTGACTTCTTTTTGATTTAGGTGTTCTCACTACTTCTCCTCTATGAAGTATGGGTGCCGGTACAGATATGGGTACAGGTACGATATGGGTACGCCGATATGTTAAAATCTAAAAAAAGTAAGGTACAGGTGCGGGTACGGGTAGGGTACGTCAAATTTATTTATTTATTTATTTTTTAAATTTATATCTAAACATCCCACCTACAAATCAAAGTTCAAAACAATAGCTATAAAGAGAAATTATAAAACCCAAAATAAATCAATATTCAACAATGCAAATACAATACTATACAACAATAAGTGGAAGAGGGCAAAGTTACTCAATAACCATGTAAAGAGTTGGTGGTTCCAAATTACATAAATTTTTTGAAGATGATTAAGGAGAAATAAGGTTGTAGACTTGCATCAAATTCCAACTTCTAGAAAAAAAAAAAAAAAAAAAACTGTTGTGGAGTACCCATGGAGTACCCACCCCACACCCATTGAGTACCCATCGCGTACCCGGTACACGTGTAGCCGTATTGGTATGCGTACCCGCACGCTGTAAGTACCCGGTACTTGTACGGCAACATTTTTGGCGTACCTGTGCTTCATAGCTTCTCCTATACCCCCCCCTCTACTGTGACTACAAGAGTGCCATTCAGATAGCATACAATTCAGTTTTCCATGAGTGCTGAGTGGATGAAGTACATTGATTGTCACTTTGTTCGTCAACACTTTCAGTTGGGAACGATTGCTCTTCCTTTTGTTCCCTCTACCTTGCAGCTTGCTGGTTTCTTCTCCAAAACTCACACTTCTACTCGCTTTCGGTTCTTATTGGACAAACTCTCGAGGCTCTCATCATGAGTTTGATTGAGGGTGTGTGTGTGAGAGAGTTGTAATATTAGTTTATATATAAGGGTAATTTAGTGTTTGTTTCGTTATAGTTTCCTAACTAGGATTTGGCTTTTTGTATATATACTAGTGTTTGTAATCTTATTAGATTAATGCAAAATGTTATTCCTCTTTTCTAGTAGTTGCATCTACATACAAACAACTAAAATAATGAAAATAATTATTTTAGGACAAAAATAATAAAAAAATGTGACATCGTGGCATGACTGATATGTATCCCAATGGGTCCAAGGTGTCTCACACGTGTCGGATATGGCTACAAAAACTAAGTCGACATATCAGTACTTCATAGGTGATGAGTCATACTACAATAATGTTCTCATTCTTAGTCTTATTACACTTTTTTTACCATGATTTTTCTAGTATTTTTAGTTACATCTACATACAAACAACTAAAATAATGAAAATAATTATTTTGGGACAAAAATAATAAAAAAAATATGACATCGTGGCATGACTGATATGTATCCCATTGTGTCCAAGGTGTCTCACATGTGTCGGATATGGCTACAAAAACTAAGTTGACATGTCTGTACTTCATAGGTGATGAGTCATACTACAATGTTCTCATTCTTAATCTTATTGCACCTTTTTTACCACGATTTTGCATAATAAGATCGTTTTTTTTACTTGTTGAACTGTTGTTATTCTTGTGTTTTTGTCTTTTGTGCAGGTATTGGCTTTTGAAAGAGAACTCACACCCTTATGGGGCATCGGTGATAATTTGCTTTTAGGTAATATTGCATTGTTCTATGTCTTCTTTGCTACTTGTTAAGAGGGTGTATACAGTATCTCTGTTTTGTGACCAATGCTTTCAAATTTTTACAGGTACTCCAGCTAGTTCAAATATGAGGAGGTTAATTATACATCTTTTGTACCTGTGACATTGCATTTGCTACGCTAATGCTAGTTTTTTTTTCTTTCTTCTTCTTCTTCTTCTTTTTTTGATAAGTAATTCACTATGCTAGTTTCTGAAAAATGTTTTCTTGGCAGGGGAGGGGCTTTGAACTATAAATTTATTAGGCAATTTTCTTTGTCCCATGGTGTGTTACTCAATTTTTTTTTTTTTTTTTTTTTTTTTTTTGTTTGGCTATTTTTTACTTTGGAGAAATACTAATTATTATTTTCTGAAATTTTAAACGTACCAGTGGAAGAAAATTTCCTACTTAAGAGTGGCTTGGAAATTGGAAACAAGCATGATCTTCCTTCCCCACCCGCAGTAGAGCTTGCTTCATCCGAAGGAGAGGTGAAAACCTTATTTTCTTGCATTTCTTAATGCATCATTTTTAACTAATCCTTTCTAGTTTGGTATAAAAATCAAATTATTCTAGTTGAATTTATGCAGGATTAGTATATCATTTTTGTTGTGTTCTTAGCTAGATTGGAAGGTTCCTGTTTTCTTACGTTTATTTGATGGGCAAGAGTCTAAATAAGCAGCACAGTATCTATTTCTAGGCTCAAAAGATTGAGGTTGGTATTGGAACAAAAGATATTATTAGACTCTTTTCAGAAAGGAATTTATTTTAATGGCTTGTGGGTGGGTTTGTTATGGTTTAGTTGTCAGTAGTTTTATTGCTCATTTCTAATTTTTGTACGAAACATATTTGCTTTGATGTGATGAAGAAATTTTTGGTTTTTCCCTAACTTACTCGATCTAAAGATGAAATCTTTGGAGATGGTTTTTTTCTTTGTATTGCTTATGTACATGATGCAGTCCGTGAATGGCTTAATGAATCAAATTCAGAGGAGAAACTTCAGAAATTGGATTGATTTTAAGTTGGAACCATGTTTTGATCCCTTAGTGCTAGTTTGGCAATTGCTTTTTTCTTTTTTAGGATAAAGATGTTACTAAAAAAGTTGATGCCTTTGGCAAATGCTTAAAAAGTTGCCTTTTGGTATTGAGAAAGTTCAGGTAGGGTTTGAATTTTTTTTGACTTTGATGAACTTTTTTTTTTATTTTTTTTGGACTTGGAATATAAATTTTTTTACCACCCTAATTTTTTTTACTACCGACAAAGTTTTTGAGAAGTAAGCAATGGTGGTCAGATTTGGTGCAGATGCTGAATGCATGGTTATGACTTCAGATGTTAATGAAAGACTTGAATTCATGAAGCTATATCGTGATAATAAAGCGACCATCAATATAGCTTATAACCTTGTTCAACCTGACAGAATCAAGAACATTGAGATTGACAGACAATTTATCATGGAAAACTTGAATAAGGGTGTGATTTGTATGCCCTTTGTAACATCATAAGATCAATTGGCTGATAAATTCATTGAAGGGCTTAATTGTGCAGTTTTCAATTCCATTGTTTTTACGTTGTGCATCAGAGATATCTATTCACCAATTTGAGGGGGAGTGTTTCTATTATGAGGGTACTTTCTATTTTGCATATTATTGAATGAAAATGCATGCTATAAGGGAGAGAATCCTAATTTTGGTCTTTTCCATTCAGCCATACAATAGATTTGTTTTCTCTTCTCTCATTTTTATTGTTCTTTCATTTCTTTTGTACCTCTTATATCTCCTGTATACTCTAAAGAGAAATGATTGCTTTTGAAGAATTACCTGAAGGTAAGAAGTCGGTTGGATGTATGTGGGTTTTCATTGTGAAACATAAAGCAGATGGTTCTGTTGAGGGATATAACTTATAAGGCTAGGTTGATGGCCAAAGGATTTATTGAGACCTATAGAATTGATTATCAAGAGACCTTACCACTAGTAAAGATGAATGCCATTAGAGTCATTCTTTCCTTGGCCTCTTCAGTAGCTTGATGTAAAAAATGCTTTTCCTCACAGTGACTTGGAAGATGAAGTATATATGGATATTTGGCTTAAATTTCCTCTTCCCAATGGTAGTGGCAAGGTTTGTAGGATAAAGAAGTCACTATATGATTTGAAATAGATATCGAGAGCCTTGTTTGACAGATTTGCCAAAGCTACACAAAGATTTGAGTATCACCAATGTTGAGTTGATGACATTCTTTCTCAAACATTCCTCACATGAGAAGATAACTATGCAGATAGTGTATGTTGATGATATTGTATTGATTGGGAATTATGTAGAGGAGATGAACAATTTGAAAAATTCCTTGTCCAAGGAATACAAAACAAAAGATTTTGGCGATTTGAAGTACTCCTTGGGTATTGAAGTTGCTTGATCCAGATATGGTATTTTCATCTTGTAACACATGTGCTTGATCTTTTGAAGGAGAATAGGATGTTGGGATGTAAACCTGTGGACACTCCCATTGAACACAATCATAAACTAGTTGATAGTGAAAGTAATAGTTAGGTTGATAGGGGTTGTTGTTGTTGTTAAGTTACCAATTTTCTCAAAAGCTTAAGCGGTTAGGAAATGGGCCAAGCAATGTATATCAAGTTATCTAACACCCTCCCTCACGTGCAACCCCGTCTTGCACGTGGAGAGACAAACATAGAGCAAACAGAATGAGAAGCAAACAACCAAATAGAGAGATGAAACCAAATGGGGACATGATATCAAATCCTAATGTTGAGACTTGAACCCAATACCATGTTAAGTTAAAAAGCTTAAGTTGTTCGGAACTGGGTCCAACAATGTATATCAAGCTATCTAATAGTTATTAGTGACTTGTGGGTAGACTTAGTTGCCTTTCACATGCCTTGATTTAGCATATTCAAGTAGAATGGTTAGCCAGTTTATGTGCTCATCTAATGGGGTTCATTTAGAGGTTGTGGATAGGATATTGTGGTATTTGAAGTCAACACGTGGTAGGGAAATATTGTTTCCCAAACATAATGATCTGCAGATAGAAGTCAGTGCTGATGCAAATGTGGTGTAATTTGTTATATACTTGAAATCTACTTTTCTACTGCACCTTTGGTAGGGGTAACTTGTGATATTGCGTAACAAGAAGCAATCTGTGGTTGTCAGGTTAGGTGTGGAAGCAGATTTTGGAGCTATGGCTCATTAAATATGTGAATTGTCGTGGTGCGGTTGAAGTCGCTTTTGAAGGAACTAAGTTTGATTTGAAGGAACTAAGTTTGATTAGGAAAGTTCTCTGAAGCTGTTATCAATATTACTCATCAACTTAACATAATCAAATTGTGGAAGTAAAAATAAAGGCTCTCCTAATTCTATAAAGACAAGAACACAAATTAAGCTAAGAAAATTTGGCAATTACTAATATTCTAGACCAACTATGACTATGACTGCCAATTCCACTTCAATCATATTAGGAAACTTTGATGACTTCTAATTCTGTTCTCAATATCAAAATAGGAAACTTGTCTTTTTCACCATTAAGATTATTGTAAACATAATAAAACCAGTAGATATATTACCCATTTAATAAATTGACCCAAAATAAAACCCATTGGCAACCCTACAACCCATGTCCAACAAGTAGTGAAATTATTATAATACCCTTAGTACTTAAACCATAATAAATTCAAATAAAGTCTCAAAATTATTCCAAAACTTTCCATTATCTTCATCAGGTACTTTAAGGTGGAAGCAGGTCACTGGGTTTGTTGCCGGAAATGGTGAGAGGTGTGCTTTTGGAGTCATCTTTGTGATTCCACAGACAGGGAAGGACGTGATACTTTAAGGTGGAAGGTCATGTTGTGAAATCTTTTTATGAAGCTTTGGTGAGTCATAGAGGATTTCTTTCCATGGGAAGATATTTGAGCCTCCAAGGAGGCAACTAGTTTGCCTTTTTTAGGTGGACAAGGTGTGTTGAAAAATCCTTAACATCGACAGTTTGATTAATAGGTCACAAATTCATGTTAATTGGTGTTCTTGTGTAAGCGAGATGGTGAATCATCCAACCACTTTCTTGTGTAACCAATTTGAAGGGAAGGAAGAGCATTTCTAATATTATTAGAATTTTGTCCCTTTTGTATGATTGGTTCTCAGGCAGTGTTGCACCATCCTTGAACAAATTTTTTTGAACTTTGTAGTGGCTTTTGAGTGTATAAAAATTTTAGTTTTTTTTTGGAATTAAATATAGTGCATAAGAGTGGCACTGTCACCCAGTTGATGCCTCTTCTTTTACATGTTATAGAATATTACTTAAAAAATATAAATATTTAACCACATTCCGTTGTCCTTAAGACAGTTTTTAGAAGAATATGACACTTGGTGGTTTAGAAACAAAGAAGAGAAAGGGAGAAGAGAGCAGAAGGAGAAAGGAGAAAATTTGGAGATTAAGAGAATAGAGGTAACCAAATTCTGTTTGTAATCAATAATGCCAAAAATAATGTAATAGTCGATGCATTCCATCCATATATACCTGAGCGCTGCGTAATTAGGAAATAAAAAGGAAAAGGAAATAAAAAGGAAAATAATAATAAATTTGTTGTAAAACTAAAATATTCCTAAATAAAGCTAAATTCTAAAGCTAATAATCTTGATCTTCGTCACTTACGCACAATCAATGAAGAATTTCTTTTCTTTTTCCTTCTTCTTCTTCTTCTTTTTTGTTTGTGTGTATATTTGTGTGGCTAAGATCTATGTATCTTTAAATTTACGTTAATGTATGTGCATGCATGTATCATTCCCGCAATTTCATTTTTGATCCAAGTAAATTAGCATTATGTTCTCTTTTGTTAAATGCAGCAACTTTTGTTAGAAGCTTTTCAAGCAGGAAGTGCAAAAGGTTTTGTTCATGTGTTTGGCTCATATGTAGCATTGTCAGAGCCTGGATTGTATGGACTGGCCAGCATCTCCACTGTCTTGAATGCCCTTCGACCTACGTCAGGAAAGAAATTCAATTCTGACCTTATTATGTTTATTGTGTTCTCATAGGATAGAAGTGTATGACATGTGTAATGTTGTTTGCATCTATATGTGGTTGTATGCACTTTTCAGATTAGCTGCAATGGACCATGTGAAATTTGTGTGTGGCACTTCTGATTATATGTGCACATGTATTTTTCTATTTGTAGATGATTTTTGATTGTTTTCACTTTAACTTTGCTTGGATGGTTGTTAGCCCATCCCACAATCAATACCCATTTACATGTAACATTTTCTTTGTTTATTAAAATTAAGAGATTGTATGAGGTTCTCTTCTCTGTTATTTGCATTTGAATGGCACTACGGGAGGTTCGGAAATATGCATATGAAATGTAGTAACACCTTGGGTGTTACAGGTTTCTTCTTGCCTAATTGGTGTTGTATCTGCAAACAGGTGGAGGATTCAGTTGATCACTTGTTCTGTGATGTAGCTAGAGGCTTATAGAGCTTACTGTTATGATATTTGGTGTGTGTTGATTGATGTCTAGGGTTGTTAAGAATATTATCTGCCGCGCCACAACCGACCAACGCAGCCCGACCCATATACTTGCGGCTGATTTCGAACATTCATTTGGTCGGAAGGGGGTGTGAGAATAGCAAAAATTCAGTGATCTATAACAACCTTGCATTATTAAGCGTTTTGGAAAAAAGTCTCAATTTTTATGTTCTTTTTTTAAGTTAATAAGCTGTTGGGTGGGTTTTGTTTATTTTATGTTATATTAAGTTATAGAAGTCAAATCTATATTGATAATTCTGAAATTGCTGGGTGTAAACTAAATTTTATGGCCAGTTGACGCAGTATAGGTCATGTTATTAGGTCATTTCAGTAGTCGATGTCTTTGTTAGAATAAGAATTGTTGTGGCATTATGCATTGTGATTCTTATAATTCATTAGAGAACAAGTTTTAGTGAATGATTTTGGAGATTTTTATGCCCTTTAGAAATTTTGTATCTAATTGTAAGCCCTAGATATGCTGCCTAAGGGACCCTGAGTGATTCATTTTTGTTGCATTTCTTTTCCAATTTCTTTTCTTTGTTCTTCTACCCCCTTAAGTTCTTTGCTGCAGATCCAGTTTAATCACTATCTTACTCTCTGACCCAGAGGCATACCTTTATAACCTAACCCAATTCGAGGTTGTTTGGGAAGTGCTAAATAAGTGTACTTTTTGACTTTTTACGAAAAGATATGCAGAAAAGTAGAGAGTTGATGTGACTCAAAAAAGATAATAAGATAAAAATGTGCACTTTTTTAGTATATGCCAAAAGGATTAATACTGCCACTCCATATCCTAAAAAATATTGCTGTTTCCATCACTGTTTTACCTGAATTTCATGTCGTTAAACAGGACTGGAACTGGCACTGTCAACTGTTTACAGGGGCTGTTTACAGCACCCTGAACAGCTTCATATTTTCTTTCTTGCTTCAATATAACCACACAACTTTTCTTATTGTTATTCTCTACAAACCTTAGTAGCAAGAAACTGCTATGGGGGCCTCGCTACTCGCTCCAGAACCTCGCCCCTTCCCCCACCCCCACCCCTGCTCCCGCTCCCAATCTTAAACTCTTCTATAGGGCCCTCACTCCCCGTCTCCACTCCCCGTTCATGCAACTATACAACAAACACTGAATCCCATGTGCTTTTACCAGTGATTTAACTATAAACTTGTTATAGTCAGCCCTAATAAAGCCCCTCCGTAGCTACCATATGCAAATTTTGGCATTAATTCTTGTGGGAGTGTGTTTCATCACACTTATCCTGCATCACTCCCATGTCTTGTTCTCCTTAGGATGATTGGATAAAGATTTTGTTTGGCCTAGCCACAGAATAAACAGACCATAATTTATGGACTCTTCCTCCCCATCCTAAATCAACTGCTTCCACTTTTGCTAGTGTGCTCCACTCCACTAAACCTAACCCACTACACCACTACCACCTCCACTACTCCACTAAACCTAACCCACTACACCACTACCACCTCCACTTCACCTACTCCTTACCTACTACACACTCACCCTCTTCTATATATAGGAATGAATCATTGTAATACAAAACAACAACATTACATCAATCATAATACTATCAATTTCTCTCTCTATCATTTTTTCTTACAGCTAGTGTGCTCCTCCCTCTTTTGGATACCACCTTACTCAGATTTCCACTTTGTGCTTGGCTGTGTTTGGTCTATTTTATCTCCTTGTTTGAGTTGTCAACTTGGAGTACTAAAAGCTGTACCTTTCCCCGTAGTAATAAGTGTACTACATCTCTGTTCTATTTTTTGCATTTTAGTATGAGGGGTTAGTGCTTGCAAGGTCTTAATTGATATATATATATATATATTTTATTTTATTTTCATTGCCAGATTATTGCTGTTATATGTGTCTTTATTCATGCATACTAGGTCTCACCTGTATTGAATATACTAGGATCTACTAATGTGTTTCGCACTCAATCCTTCGACATTGTTGTGTTTTGGCCTGATTATGGACGTTGAGTACATAAACCGCTCATATTTGAACAAATTTTCCCACAACTTTTATGTGTAGATCCATCAGCTGGCTGTATGCTTTATGTAAACAGTGCTATCTTTCACATGTTGCAATTGCTATTTACAAATCCAGACTCTTGTTAGCATTAATTGAATTTTTAGAAGATTAATCCCTTCTCTGATTTATTATGCGTTATTCACTTGGTTTTAAGCTCGCATATCCTTTTGCCTATGTGACTGACTCTCTCTCTCTCTCTTGCTGGGGTTGGGTGGTGGTGCAGGCAGTTGGAGATGTTGTTTTGAATTTTTGTTGGATTCTTGTGACAATTTTGAAAAGGTCATAGCTGAAGGACTTGGATTCGGTAAACTTGCTTTTTTGGCTCATTGCAATGGAGCTAAAGTTGAAGTTTTTCAAACGAATCTATGCACTATTGATGACTTTCGCAATTATGTCTTGAAATGTGCAACTTCAACGGATTATCATATGGTCTCATACTTTGATAGATCCCACTTCAAACAGGTATGCATCTTTAATTTGTTAAAAATCTATTTTTAATTTTGAATAGTTTTCTTTTCATTCATTTTTTTTTTTCACTACCCAAATTGCAACTTACAATAAGATTTAAAAATCTGCTTCAAATACTTTTGGGCTAAGTTTCTTCATGAATAACAATATTCAATGTACACACGTTGAATGTCTTGCTGGTCATGGAGTTATCCCATAGCATGACACTAATTTAAAATCATGTTTGTTTATCTGTTTCTTTTTCTTCTGCTTTTGATAAGTGAAAAGTGTTTCAAGTGAAAATTATGTCTTATAATGGCAGATTGGTGGCAGTCATATTTCTCCAATTGGTGCATATCATGGTGGACGGGATTTGGTACTTGTTATGGATGTTTCTCGATTTGAGTATCCTCCTTTCTGGATTCCACTGACACTTCTTTGGCAAGCCATGACTTCAATTGACAAAGCAACTGGAAATCACATGGGGTATGGATAATGTTTACCAAACCCTATTGAAGTTAAACATTAATCTCATTGTTCCATTTATCTTCTATATTTGATAAAAAAAAGTGAAATATTGTTGTTAAGAGTATGGAGTATAGACAGAGTGAACCGACATAGCGATTACTTTCTGCATGATCCCTGTCATTCATAGCTTAAAGCACAAACATTGATGTAGATCAATAACTTACCTGGGCAATAGCCACCAATTGTGAAATGTGTTAAAGATGACCTACAATTTATTGAAAATAATGTACTGATGATCATATTGTTCAAATAATTTAAGGTATTGTTAAAACGGTGGTCAACTGCCAAATTTACATTTGATGAACTGATACAGTTAAAGAAACTATGCCTAGTTTGCTTGGCAGAAACTATGCTGAGTTGAGGAGCAACTTTGATGGGAATTGTCGGTCATATTTTTATTGTTTTTAATGAAAATAATGTGTTGTATGAAAGAAGGAGCTTTTGTGAGGATTATTTTTGGGGTTATTCCTGCTAATTATTAATTAACAGACATCGGTGTGAATACGAATGATAACAAACATGCGCCTGGAAGTTGGCATCCTAGGTTTGAATGGTGAAGTCTAGCATACCTTTTAGGTATAAGTCACTTAAAGAGGGTGGAAGAATAACTATGGGGCCAAATTTTGGTTTGTAATTTCTTTCTGGTTTGGATAGGCAGTTTTAGATATCTTAGTTATGTCTATTCGTTTTTTTTGTTGTTGATAGATATCTTAGTTATGTCTATTCAACAATATTTTGATGAGATAATTCTGGATGCAGTCCATAAGATCTGATTACATCAGTTTTGGGAATCTAGCTACTTGTACCCACATCTGGCCTACGTCAGTTTGCAAGTAGAGTGAAATATTGTCTATCTTGAGGTGTTAAATATCCTTGCTTATGGTGTTAAAACATCTATAACATCATATCCTTATTCAAAAGACTATAATATTCCAAAACTTATTTCAAGGATGGATCACCTCTACCTGCATACCAACTATACAAAAGAGACAAAATTCTACCCTTCAATATAAAATTAGGTTCATCCACCCTATCAAAAGTCCTCTGATTGCACTCTCCCCTAATAATTCATATCAAAGCTAAATGCACCAAAAACCAATCTTTTTTTCCTTCTCTTTCCCACTCTAGCCCCCTTCCCAAATTCAATAAAATCCAACACATTCCTAGGGAATTCGCACACTAAACCATAGCCAATTATTAAGGAGACAATTGAAAATTCCCCATCTTGGTTGCACATATAACATCACTCAAAATGAATTGGCCACCTCCTAATCAAGTTATGAATGGAAACTATTTTTATACGCACTTCCATCCATACAAGACGAAGCTTTGGAAACCCAAACTCCTTTCTAAGGAAAGGACAAACCTCTATGAACTCAAAGCCTTCGGAGTTAAATCTTGTTCACCACAGAACATCCTCTCCCTCTCCTATATGTGGAATAGCATACAAAATACCATGAAGATTCCCCAACTCCTTCGCCTCCCAATCATTCAACTCTTAATGAAAAGCAATATCTTCAAAAACTTGAGTACCTTCCTCTTAAAGATATTTTCTGACTACTCCCCTATTAACCAAAATATGAGCAAGAATAGAGAAATGCTCTTCCAGCTTGTCCTCTTCACGCCAAAGATGACTCCAAAAGCAAACTCTTCACCATTCCCAACAACAAATATGACTTGGAAAATCTTTTTGAAGTGTCGTTCCATATGCCATAGCCAAAAAGTATGGACACAAACATGGACACGTGACCTGACACAAACACTCCAACATGGAAATTTTAAAAAAATGTCGGAGATGACATATGAGCGACACGTAGAAAATATATAATTTTATATATTGCTTATATGTCATATATAGGGATAGATGATTATTATATGTCAGATATGAATATTTAATTCAAAGATAATAAATTTTAAAATTTGAAGGAGGAAAATAAGTATAAATTTAAATTATTTTTCTTTTCTCATTTGATACCAAGTAAGTTTATTCAAACTTGTAAATGTGTGAAGTGTTGGGAAGTGTCCAATGAGTGTCGTGTTAATGTGAGACACGTTGTTGGACCTGACACATTACCTTCTTAGAATGTCCATGGTTTTTTGAGACATAGAAATCTCCATCGAAGACCAATCCCCCTCATACTTCCATATTTTGATTTCACCACCAATTAAAACTGATATAGTAAAAGAGCAGAATAAGAGAATGAGAAGATAGAATGTATGGCTATTGTGAGAGACCCAAAAAGTAGGGTTGCCTCTCGTTAACACTTGTGTTTATATTAAAAGGGTTAATTACACGCACCTTGCTTGAGGTTTCTGGCAATTACAAAGTTGTCCCCTGAACCCAATTGTAGAGGTCAACCCACTAGTGAGGGAAAAATAGAGGGATAGAAGGCAGAGAGAGAAAGAGAAACATCCCCATTGGCTACCCAGTGGAACACATTGCAACTCGCTATTGCTACCACCTAATAACCGAACCACCATATTCCATTATCACTGCAATCTATCACCATAACCCCCACTACAAACCCCCATAACCACTAACTACGACTTGTAATGCCCAATCTTCCAAACATAGAAATAATTTGAAGCCCAGTGCAAGCTATATGTATTCCTGCATACATACATTCAACTACAAAGACCCATTCCCAATCCAATAGGGAAAACATCTTTCAAGAAAGATGAATTGATGAAGAAAGAGCAAAATCTACATGTAGAAATCAACCTAAAAACCAAAAACCACCAGTTATGAATCCCACCATTAGGGATGGCAATTTGAACCTGGCTTGGCAGGGACCCAACTCCCCAAACCCCGATTTGAGCGGTTTTTCCTCGAAAAATATCCCCGCGGGACGGGGATGGTATTTAAAAATCAATCTCCAATTAGTTTCAGGCCGGGGGCGGGGATAAGTGTCCCAACTCCGTACTCGTCCTGTCCCCGTCCCCATCCTTGTTTGTTCCCGAAGTGAAATTACTAGTTTACCGCTATATATATATACATATGTAAACCAAACCCTCATCCTCATCCTCATCTCAGTTTTGTCTTCCTTTGTGTCTCTCTCTTTCTCTTTTCCCTCTACTCGCCCTCTCACTCTCGCACTGTCAACGACGCCGATCGTCCTCCTTTGTTGTCCATCGCCACTGTCCGCGACGCCAATCGTCCTCCTTCGTCCACTATCGCCTCCTCCGATCTCCTCCGTCGTCCATCGGCGCCGATTGTCCACTCTCTCTATCTCTCTGTGACACAGATACACAGATCTCAGATCTATTTGTGTATGTGTGTATACATGTATGTGTGTGTGTATCTGTCCATTTTTTATTTTTTTGCTAGTGGATCTATTGATGATGCCGATCGTCCTCTCTCTCTCTCTCTCTCTCTGTGACACAGATCTCAGATCTGTTTGTGTATGTATGTATACATGTATGTTTGTGTGTATCTGTCCTTTTTTTTTTTTAGTGTGATCCCTGGCCCCGGCCCGTTGCCATTCCTACCCACCATAGACTATAATTCCTTAACTGATTGCATTTACATGCTTAAGGGTTTCATTTTTTTAGATGAAGGATGCAACCAACAATTACTGATCTACCAAACCTAAAAGCATCATCACTTTAATTTCACCATTGCAATTTAAGGACCCAAACCCTTAAAACCCACATGTTCTTGTGGAAATATATTTAAGAGAAAAGAAGTGGGAGTATACATGAAGGGACCAACCTCCCTTTCTCTTTCTCTATCATGAGTTGTTGATGTAAAATGTTAGCTTTCTCATTATCTTCCATGTAGGCACTGGTCATTTTTATACGTCACTTTATTTAACTGCTATTTCTTATCGAGAGAGCTAGTTGGCATGTAGAAAAAATTCGTATGTTTTTCCACTTCAATGACTTGTGGGGCTTGTCATCTTTTTGTACACTATTATTTACATTCCTTTTAATGGATAAGTAAAATTATTTACATCCTGTTTCAAATTCAGTGAGCCTATTGGTTATAAAGATGAAGTTCATATGTTTCATCCACTTTATAAACTTGCACTACTGCACTACTTGTATGGAATCAATACACTTGTTTTCTGCAATTTTAATTCTTGTATTTCTGTTTTTATAGGTTTATGGTTCTAACATGGCTTCCCTATGATCCTTGCGTGCTTTATACACTGGTATGATGCTTGCTGCAAGTTCTTTCGGTTATAATTACATGAATTCATTATTTGTCTTTCATTTATAAAAGAGTCATTATTTATGCCTTTTCTTGTTGCACTTGTTTTCTACGTGCTGTTTTATTTGAACTGACAATAGTCAGGAATTGGTTTCCACTTACTGGGATTAGCTTAGAATCATGTTCGTTGATTTTGTTATTTAGTTTATTGGTTGCTGTTTTTAGGATTGAGGAAAATTTTGATCCCAGTGGAACCACCAATTTTCAAAGAATTCTTCTTAAGAATGCCCATATAAATGAAGTACTTCTACAAGCATTAACGATTCTTTTCTCAAAAAATTCCACACAGACCTTCATCAAATCAGATTTAGCATCTCAACAATCTCAAAAAACTGCCATAGAAAGTCCATCTGGCTTCGAAGACTTGTGTCTTTCACACTCAAAGGCTGCCACTCTAAATTCCATCTTGTCAAAATTCTTTCCAACCAATTAGTTTTATTGCTATCCTTAAATGGAGACCATTCCAAACCTTCAGGGACAATTTGAGGTGTTCAAATAATTTATCAACAGTATTAGCGTCAATCCTCCACACGGATAAGATCAACAGTACAAACTGATCATGCACTTGCCTTAAATCTATATGAGTATGTGGCTTAGATTAGGAGCCAATCGCAATGCTCACAGTCACCACAAAAATCACCAAGGGATTTGTAAAGCTTAAAAGAATTACCAAGAAACTCAAGATATGTATGTATGCGGATTATAAGCTAAAACTCACTTAAGCTCTCTCTCTCTCTCTCTCTCTCTCTCTTATGCATGTATGTTCTAACATAGAAGACGAAGCATCTATATGTCGGAAAGGAGAACCAAAAGGATATAGAAAACCAAAATCACAAGATTTTGATTCAGGTACATTAATACTAGGTCATACCGACAGCACATTCCAATGGAGAAGCCTCGCATTCTAACATAGATCCTACTATAATCCAACTTTACTTTTCCATTGAATAGTGCATTCGAACAAATCAAACTTGTGATTGGACAAGCATTCTATTGACTTAAATAAACTGTTCCAATCGATGCTTATAATCTGTGTTCAAATGCTCAAGGAACCACATTCTATCTTGCACAACCTTTGTGTTCTACAATGTCGCACTTCGGAAATAATGCACACAGGCTTTGCACTTCTATTATGTGCACTTCAGTGATGAGCATTATAGGTATAAAATGCACTCATGCATTTACATAGACACATTTAGTGGGTTGAGTGTTATAGCCGTTCACAACCAAAATCCCGTCCTAGTTGGATTAACGCATGACCAGCCAATAACCATAGACTACCGAGGCCTACCTATACCAAGTGAAAGGTGCATTTGAAATATATGAAATTTATTGAAAATGTATGTTTAGTGGACATTTGATTTTTGTTAATGAGATCTTCTTGGTATTGTTATGATAGTGGTTAGCTTTCAGTTTTGGCATTGGCATTACTTTTGTGGTTTTGTGAATAAACATTGGACATGAATTGTTGTGGACTTTGTGTGCAGAGCTGTCGTGATGGGAGTTGGATCAGGACTGCAAATCATCTTTCACAAATACCCCTTCTACTAGAGTCAGAGGATGTAAAAGATGTTAATCAAATTCTATCCGTTCTATTTATGTCAGTCTCTACCAATTTCAGTGTGTTTATTAAGCAAGTTGCTGAAGCCCAAGGGAAGGACGGGCATGTTCATTCAAGCAAAAGGAAGAGGAAAAGGCTTACTACCCAGGTGTCATTTATCTTCTGCTACATATGCTTCCTGTTACTCACCTGTTAAAATTGAAACTTCTTTCCCTTCTCCCTTGTTCTCTCTGACCTCTCCCATTTTATCTGAAGATTATCTTATAATTTAGCTTCTTGTTTTCGGGTTTCAGGGCCAGTTATTAATGCAATTACGGGAGACAGAATTGCATAAGCGAGTCAGCAAATGGATGGATTCTATGAATTCTGATAGCGGATTTGTGACAAGTTCTGGCAATCAGCATGCTTTGCTTGAGATTGCAGCAAATGTGGCTTCGGATGGGGTCAAGCATTCAACATTGAACCCTGGTTCTTCTGGTCGATTATACTCTACAGATTCAGTGGGTTCTTCAAAAGGCAATTATGAAAGAGTCTCTGTTGAAATGAGTGAGCCAGTTACCTGCAGCAGGGAGCAAGGGCCTGGTAAAATGATCCAAACTATTGATCCAAGTCCGAGTGGCTGCAGTGTAAACAATGGCCATTTTATTTGCAAAGATGCTCTAACGATGTTGTTGTTGGCCCTGCCCTCTCATATGTGGTCTGGAATTAAGGAACCAAACCTATCTGCAGAGTTTAACAGCCTTGTATCAATAGAGAGTGTTCCTCACATACTCAAGAAAGAGGTAACAGTTCTTCCTTTTCTTGTGTCTTACTTTCTTTGGTATTATATCTCACTTGCATTAATTGGTTCCTTACTGTGTTCTATTATGTCTATGCTGGAATAACAAAGAATCTCCAACATTGTGGGGTTGCTTGAATCTTCAAATATTTACAAATGAGGTCTAGTATTTCCAACATACATCCTCAACCTGATCCTTTAACTAGGAAGAATGGATATGGATACGATATGAATGCGGCGATACGACAAAATTTTAAAAAATAGGATATGGATACGGTTAGGATATGTTTATAAAAAAAATATTTAAAAAAAATTATTAGTAGTCAGTTATGCATGAGCTCAAGAATGTTGAGAAACCATACTGTAATTAAATAATGCAAAATACTAATCTTTAATAATTAGGTATTAATTTAAGTTGGTAGCTAGTTTACTGCTTTTAACTTTTAATAGGTCTTACAAATATTTCATTTCAATATCAAGTCTAATATGTTTATATTATAATAATAGAAGAATGATATTTAATTTTATTTTATTTTCTAATTGGCGTGCATGACACAATAAGAATAAGTCAATTTGACAAATTAAATTACTTTAATTCACTATGTTCTTCTTATCAAAGAACTAAGCAAAGTATTAATTTTTTTTTTTTTTTTTTTTTTTTTTTTTTTTTTTTTATCCTCACAATTATATTATATTATAATGCTATGCAATAAATGCTACAATTCTAATTTTGTGAAAGTAATACGGGACTTGGAGTATCCGATTCTTCGAAATTAATTAAGAAGTATTCGATACTTTTAGTAAGTATCCAATACATATCTGTGAGTATCCAAGGAGTATCGGTATCTGATACAGATACGATACGGATACGTTGCCTTTTTAGAAGTATCCGTGCTTCAAAAAGAATGAAAAAAATTATTTTGCTTTCCCATGAATGAGTTAGAGGCGATGTATGTATAATAGATTTATGATACAATTTAGGAAACGATATAAGTAAGGAAACAATACTAAATCAGTGATTGTCACAATCACAGATTATACACATAATACTAAAAATAAAAAGATGCAATGTACTCTATTCTAATTTCTATATTCAACACTCCCTCTCAAGTTGGTGTGAAGATATTCAACAATTGCAGCTTGGTAATGGATGACTGGAAGAAGCCGGAAAAAACTCAACGGCTAGTCCAAATAAATGCTACCGAACATACTACTAAATAAAAAAGACCAAAAAGTGCTTAATACATCAGCACCACACCCTAGAAAGGGAAAAAACAGGGACTGAACTGCCCTAGAAGAAACTGACCGGAATCAATGTCGAGACAATTTAAGAGGTCATGTCAAACCGTTGTAGAAACTAATTGGATGTTGAACTAGTAAGTGTGGCACACACATAACTTATGATGTGGTGCTAAATGATGATGGCAACAGATGACTGAGTGCGCTAAGAGGCGGCTTATTAGAAAGTGCGCCAGGGGAGGTGGCTTAGGTGGTGTGCCAAGGGGGCGACTTGGGTTGTGTGCCAGAGAGGGATTCTTGGGTTATGCGCCAGATGAGGCGGCTTAGGTAGTTCGCATGGTATATCACCATGCTCACCATGATATAGAGGAAGAGATCACCACGAAGTGATACCGAAAGAAAATATGGCAGTGGAATGAGTTGAGGTTCGGCGGGCGGCCAAGGCAAGGCTGCTGCCCGCCGGTGAAGCAAAATTACTAGGTCCTTAACTTAACTCTGATACAAAAAAGAATGAAAAGAATTATTTTGCTTTTTCATAAATGAGGTAGAGGCCATGTATATATAATAGATTTATGATACAATTTAGGAAACGATATCAATAAGAAAACAATACTAAATCAGTAATTGACACAATCACAGATTATATACATAATACTAAAAATAAAAAGATTCTATGTACTCTACTCTAATTTCTATATTTAACACTTTATAGTCCTTTAAGCTTGTTGATTCTTGTGTTCCTTAGTCTCCTCTTATGCTATCATTCAATTGAAAATTGAAACCAGATTCAACGGTCTATTATTGTGTCTCTAGATCTTTTTAATTTTTTTTTTATTTAATGAGTTCGTTGGCTTGAGAATGCATGGTTAATATTCTATGTGATCTTTGTCCTATTACCAATTTAAAAGTCAACCGGGATTTGGCTTCTCTTTACATGATTGTGATGAAGTTAAATATATGGATGACTCATTACTCTTGCACAGTCAAATGATCTGATTGTCTAGATTTTTCTTGTTAAATTTCTTCATATGTATATCAGTTTTAAACTTTCTATTTATTTTTGGTGTGGTGTTGTATTTGGTGGCCGAATCTGGTGCATTTTCAGCATGATGAAGGATTTCATTGAAAAAAGAAAAAAAACAAACAATCTAGCAAGGAAGAAGAAGCCTATCCTTTGCAGATGATTCTGTAGAACTCGTAGTACATGTTTTCATCATTATAATATAATGTTATGTAAAAATGCATAGAAACATGTTGTAATAGACGATATAAGTTTCTTGTTTCGCTCAATGAATTGCTTCTCTTGAGACTTGAAGGTGAGTTTTGCTCTCTCAAATTCTTAAGAGGTAGAAATTAGTTGAGTTCCTTATTTTCTTGGACCTCATATTGATACTGATCACTGACTGAAGCTTGCTCACATTTTGCACCTTAGCTGTGCTTGTGATTTTTATTTAGGTAAATTGCATAAACACTCCATGAGGTTCCTAACAAATACTCGGACACCCTGCAGTTTTTTGAAATTACTAGAAAATCCCTATCAAAGATGAAGGGTTGACAGATGTTACAACGTGCTTGGTTTTACTTGTTTACCCTTGTACCAAAATGATTATTTCAGTATTAAGGTTAGCATTATGCCAAAAGAAAGGGTTGTCTTGTGATCTGCACTCCAACTCTACCATGAATGGGTACTTATGTCTGCAGAACAATTCAAGAGTATTATTAGCATTACACAAATTTTGCCGATGTCAGCATCTTTCCTAATGATTGAGCAACCAAGGGGTTGCTTTTGCATATTGTTAGTTCAAGTATTAGGTGTTTCTCAATTTTCAAAAAATTCAGGGGTGTCAATTTACTCAAGGTGGCAACCCTTTCCTAACAGTTCAAGGTTTTGGGACTAGGGGTGATCAAACAAAGATGATGTGCTTCTTTGTACTTGATTTTCTACAATTTTCATTTGATGTAGTTTTTCATACATGGAAATCCTTATATTATTGTTATCTATGCAAATGTCATTCAAACGTATCATTAGTGGCAAATTTAATTGTGTTAGTGTTCTACATATTAAGTGATTTTTATGCAATTTGATAGGGGTGTACTTGGTTCAGTTTGTTCCAGTTCTAAGGTAAATTAAAAACCGAACCGATTTCAGCCGTTTCAAAAATTTAGGGAACCAAACCAAATCATGTAAATTATGGAACTGAACCAAACCAACCAACCCTGTGGAAAGCGGTTTGGTTTTGATTCATAACGATGATTCCAATCCTAAGAACGATCCACAAATTAGATGTTAAAAACTTGTCTTAATATTTTCTCTCAAATTTCTTTTGTTCATTTCTTTACCTCCTTTCTTTTATCTTTTTTTATTATTTATTTTTTATAATCTTTCTTTTTATATTATGCTCTATTAATCATCTCTCACAATTCTAAAAACGCTCTTTATCTATGTAAACATATATTAATCTTTCTGATCTTTATTATTTGGAGATTGTTATTAGTTGCTGTCTCATGATGTTAAATGATGCTGATTCAGAGTTTGAATTTTTATTCATGACCAACACAGGTGCTGAGCTTGCGCCAACAGCTCGAGTTTCTTATGATGGATATTGGTTCAAATTCTGTGCATAAGGAGCTAACTACAGTATCAGACTGAAGTACACTGAAAGAGCCATGGTTCAAGAGGTTTACTATGTATGAACGATTTATACTTTAAATTTAAAATTAAGTGATTACTATTTTAGGTTGGAAATTGGTATAATGTTGTGTATATATATGCATTTTTTATTTTATTTTTGGATGAAAAAAACATGGTATATATAATTTATCTAATATACTAGGCTTATTATAGTGGGATTTTGCTAGGGCTACATTATTATAAGTTTATACTAGTTTGCTAGCCCAAGTCCTTAAATTATTTGGAGACCAAATTATGACCAAAGTATCCCTTTACATGTTGACGCTTGCAATAACAGTAGTACGTTTGTTTGTTTGTTTTTTTTTTTTGGATTTGGTAACTGTATTACATTGACAAGCATTATTTACATTATTTGAAAATTTTAAAATTTAACAACTTTTGATTTGGATATCTGATTTAAATAAAAATTTTCTATTTTAGGAATCTTCTTATCATGATCTATAAAATAAGATTCATGAATCAGTAGTTCACACCAAGGGAATCTTAACACGAGTTAGGGAGCAAATGAAGGGGTTAAATATGAATGGAGCAGGTCTAAGCTTTGGGTTGGTCCAAACCATTAAGCCTAGACCTGAATGACCATCCGATATGGGTTAGATACCCGCCTGGGCCAAATCATATTGAGCCCAACTCTATATGGATCATCCTCTCAAGTCCCTGAGCACTTGGGACAAGATCATAATGATAGGACTAGCCCATATAGAGTACTGAGCTGGGCCATACCCATCAATAGAATTGAATTGGGTCAAACCCACACAAAGTCATCCAAATGGGTCAATCAATTTCTACAAGCAATTTCATGAAAGGCCGAATCAAGGTATGGACAAGACCGATTTGAGTCATCCTTGAGCATACATGGAAGCTGTGAACACATGCATATGCAAAATGCCACCTCAGCTAATCTCCCTCCCTAGAATCATGGAAATAGTTGTAGAGGGAATGTGATTTGTTATATACACGGTTAAAATGAGAATGTGCCTTCATGGCTAACCACTTTGTGGTCCTTCACCTTGAGCAATGATAAATAGAGCCTTGAGGCATCCAAGTTCTATGACCCCCACATTGGGAAATAAGTTAAGTCTTCTATTTAAGCAAACACTCTCATCACATTAAAGGAAACTCATCTCAACTAGTCCTAACTTAGCTCTTCCTCTCTCTACATCTAGAGAGAGAATTTCATTTTCTTCGATTTGTAGAGGGAATGTGATTTGTTATATACACGGTTAAAATGAGAATGTGCCTTCATGGCTAACCACTTTGTGGTCCTTCACCTTGAGCAATGATAAATAGAGCCTTGAGGCATCCAAGTTCTATGACCCTCACATTGGGAAATAAGTTAAGTCTTCTATTTAAGCAAACACTCTCATCACATTAAAGGAAACTCATCTCAACTAGTCCTAACTCAGCTCTTCCTCTCTCTACATCTAGAGAGAGAATTTCATTTTCTCCGATTACTTATTCTCACACCGAAGGGATTTTTTGGCTAACCCTGACTAGGCAGCTCTGACGGTGCTTTATATATATATATATGTATGTATGCATATGTACCTCATATTCATATATATGATGAAAATTTAAATACCAAGTTTATGATGGTGTTGCTACCAAAAGTGGTGATTCAATCTAAAGCAATCTTTCTCTTCTCACCCTACCCCTCACACTTTGCCAGTTAACTCCTTTTTCACCCTTGATGTGTTGTTGATCACTTTGGTTGATTTCGACATTGTTCAAGAAAACTGGGATGCTTACAACACAACAAAGCTCCAAGTTTTAATCTGGATAAATTACATTGACCTCCTTAGAAGTTTAGTGAAATTGTAGAAACCTCTTTCGAGGTTTCTAAAATGACATAAACCTCTCTTAATGTTTAATTTTCAAACTAACCTCTAAGATTTACTGAAATTGCTAAAATGACAAAAACCCTATTGAGGTTTAATTTTCAATTACACTAACCTCCTATGAGATTTTAATGAAATTGCTTAAATGATAGAAACCCATTGAGGTTTAGTTTTCAATTACACTAACCTCCCCTGAGGTTTAATAAAATAGTAAAAATCTCTTTCAAGGTTTCGTTTCTAAAATGGCAACAACCTTTCCCAATGTTTAGTTTTTTATTACAAATTCCCCTCTTTGTTACTTTATGGTAAATTGAATAATATAAATTGTGTCAACAAATAATTTAATTACATTTTCAATTTTATCAATTAAAATTGTGTCCAATTAGCCACCAACCAACCCCTCTTATACACAAATTTCTTTAACACAATAACCAATTTTCTCCCTTTATGTATAAATAAACACAGATGTGTATATTAAAAACACACCCAAATGTATATATAAACACATAGAAACACAATTCGACCAACCAATTGAAATGCAAAGTTGAAACTAAACAATTCAACAATTGTAGAACCCACCAATGCATTGTAGAAAATTGAGGTAGATGGTGTTGCGGTGAATGAGATGTCATGGGTTGAAATGGCTATATATCGTGTGAGATTGGAAGAAGATGGTGGTTGGTGGTGGTTCTAGTGGTGACTAGAGGAAAAAAAATGGGATTGCGCTTGTGGTTTGGGGTTGTAGGGGTGGATGTTTGCACTAGACGTAAAGAAAAACAAATGGTTCATGATACCAACTCCAATAAGATTGAGAGACAGACAGAGGGGGGTTGAGATTGAAGATGAGATGATATAATTGTGTTATGTCCATAGTAAGAGAAGTGTTTTATTTTGGATTTTTAATAGTATTTTTTATAGAGGGTATTTTTGTCATTTCAGTGGCAATGTTAACATCATTGTACGCAATTTGGAGGCCCATGTAATTACAAAAATTACAAGAGAGGTTTGTGTAATTATCAGATACCTCAGAGTGGTCTATGTAATTAGCCTATAAATAAATAAAATAGAATTTTATTTTTGTAATATGTTGATAAATAAATTTAAAATGCAAGTAACAATTATTATTTTATATATTAATTTCCATGTTGATTATGGGATTATGGATGGAGTTTTAAGACGGGTTTGGCTTCTTTCATGTTCATCATAGATTTTGTTTCGATAATTTGAACCATTCACTTTTTAGTACTCGTTAAGTAGAATACTAATATAAAAAATTAAGATGATCGGGAACAGAATCTATGGTGGGCTATACGGATCTCTCAAGTTCTTTCATGTTGAGATACCAATATGAGAGCCCAACCCTAAAACAAATATGATTCAAATATATAGCTAGCGATATCCAATTATTTTGATTTTTACATGAATATTCTACTCACTACAACATATAAGAGTTTTGGAGACCAAATGTTTTGGTCTTTGAAAGTGAAAATTTTGTAGCAAAAGACATTTTCGTTTGGAGACTGACTATTTTAGCCAAAAAGCTAAAAAACCAACTAAAACTAGTCACATCACCTCTCTACTTTTCTGCACATCTTTTCGTAAAAAATCAAAAAGTTACTAAAATAGCCTGTTCCCAAACAAGGCCTAGGGACTAATTTCCATCATCATGAGGATAGTCGTTAAAAGGTCGTTCTAAAAAGTCAAAAATAAGGCTTTCAACAATAAAATTTTGAAAATATCACTAATAAATAGACTTTCAGAGACAAAATAATTTGGTCTCAAAATGATTTATTTTTTGAGATAAAAAATTTGGTCCCAAAAGAATAATAATTCATCACTAATGTTCAATTTTTATTTCTAAAAATATAATAACGACACTTTTCACCACAAAATATTTAGTCCCTAAATTTTGGTCTTTAAAATTTTAATTTTTTGTAGTGACTCCTTGAATTCAAAAAAAGTGAATGGTTCGGATTATCGAAATTGATTCCAAAATGGGCCTGCAAACTCTTTTAAAATATAATTAAACTCTTTTAAAATATAATTTGAGAAAAGCCAAACTCTTTTAAAATATAATTAAAGGTATCTTAGGAATACAAAATTACAGTTCACATCAAGAAAAACAAATGCTTCATTATGCTAACCATTATGTGAATGGGTGTACTGTTAAATTTAAAAACTATAAATTTTAATTCTAATTTAAAAATATACATATTATCTATTGCTCAAATGATAGGGGTTACTTCGGTCTTAGTTTCGAGGATGTTACATTTTGTGTTTCATAGACATGAAACTAGATATAGTTGAAGCATTTCTCGGCTATTTCTTTCAACAAAACAATGATTGTGCGGTGGTTATTGCTACAGCTATCTATACAATAAGACACGAAATTTTTTGAAAATGTTCTATACACATTTGTCTTAGTAGGATATTTGGATGATTCAGATCTGTTTAAATTATAAAACAATGGCTGTAATGTATTTTTCTTTTATTTTTTTCTTTTTTCACCCATCTTCCTATGATCCCATGAATAATTCCATGAATGATCCTATGATCTCACATTTCTCCTTTTCTTTTTATTTTTTTTATTTTCCTCCCTATTTATTTATTTATTTTTTGTTTTCTCTTTTTTATTTACTTATTTTTATTTACACCGTACCTTTAGACACGGACACGGACACGGACATACACTAGTATATATATATATATATATTATTAATGTAAGCCTTTAAAGTATATATAAAGATAGTTTAAAAAAATTATATATATTTTATTACACGCATTTTCATACAGAATGATAAATCCTTTTAAACTTCTTGTTAAAAAAACTTATTTTGATAATTCAAATCTAAAAGACATAAGTATTTAATTGGTTTTAACTTAAGATATTGTTAATGAGTGCCTAAAGAAAATTAACTAGTAAAACATATTTTTATTAACACAAACTTTTATAACTATATATATTAATTTTATATTTATTAACAAATACCCATAACTCATTAACAAAATTCATGATTTTATTAATAAATAGGTAATATATTTAAATTTTTTAAAAATTATAATCCCTATTAATATTTATCTTGAAGAATAAAGACAAAAAAATAAATAAATAGTACTTTAGTCTAAGTCATTTATCTTTAGGGAGTTAACTTCTCTCTTTTCATGTTCTCCTCCTCCCTAGCAAAAGAGACATTTAAGAGAGAGAAATGTTGTAAATTTGCAACCAAAAATCTCCATGATATGGAATTTGGTTGATAAGATTAACAATATAATGTCTGCTATATGTTGACCTGGCA